CATGTGTAGTAGCTACATGTGTAGTAGCTACACGTGTAGTAGCTACACGTGTAGTAGCTACACGTGTAGTAGTTACATATGTAGTAGCTACATCTGTAGTAGCTACATGTGTAGTAGCTACATGTGTAGTAGCTACATGTGTAGTAGTTACATGTGTAGTAGCTACATGTGTAGTAGCTACACGTGTAGTAGCTACACGTGTAGTAGCTACACGTGTAGTAGTTACATATGTAGTAGCTACATGTGTAGTAGCTACACATGTAGTAGCTACACGTGTAGTAGTAGCTACGGGCCCCGCACTTTCAACGGCCCCGTGCTAAATGCTTTCAAGCTATCAATTCCGGTTCAGTGATTTTGCACTTGCTCTATTACTATAGTACTGTACTACCTTAAACTTTAATGAACGACTGGGTGTTTAAGGTTAGCGATTTGTCGTATTATCTGGCTGTATAGCAAATGAACAAAAATTACAATTACTATGCAAGTAAAAAAATGTGTGTTTAATATTTACGTGTTTTAGTTTTATTTAGGGCTCCTTTATAACATATGCTACAGGCCCCGCACTAGCTTAATCCGGTACTGCGCACCGAGGCATTTAATTGAGGCTTAGTAGACCTAAGAGAGACCCCGTACCGGTTCAGGCAATATTCACGTGAGCAGGAATCGAACTCGGGCTACGGGGTTCGTAGCGCAGCAGCAGCAGCGCGCTGAGCTCTTCTCGTCGCCAGCCCTGCCAGTGGGACGACTGACGCAGTTTTTACTGTAGGGGCAGAGCGAATGCCACCCCAATAGAGGGGGCGAGACGCGGCCGGGGTTGTAGATACGAGCTTGTCTACCGATAAGACGCGGGGTGTGTGGGGAGGCATCGCTTTGGGGCAGTGGCGGTATTTACAAAACAAATGCGAAACACTCTCTCCGGATACCTGAGCCTCCCAGCCTGTCTGTCTGTATCACAAAATGCGCGGCTCCCGCCATGGAAACGTGGAATTTCCAACGGATGTAACACGTCTCTGTGTGATGAGTCCATGGGTCTCTGTGCGAGTCTAACGCCAGACGATGGGATGAGACTCCCAGGGCAGACCTTGCAGGTGGCTGTGAGTCGACTCTGTAGCAACTGCGGGATCTGGCGGAGGGGAGAGAATGCGTTGGGGATGGTGGTGATGGTGGTGGTGATGGTGGTGGTGATGGTGGTGATGATGGTAGTGGTGATGGTGGTGATGGTGGTGGTGATGGTGGTGGTGATGGTGGTGGTGATGGTGATGATGGTGGTGGTGATGGTGGTGGTGATGGTGGTGGTGATGGTGGTGATGGTGATGGTGGTGATTGTGGTGATGATGGTGGTGGCACCCATGGATGACACCGCGATTACACTTCTCTCCCTAACGCATTCGCCTGCCCCCGGCCGTATCGCGGTCCGTGACGTGGGCCACCGACGCTGATTGCAACGCGGCCGGCAACACTCGCGATAAAATAATGATCATAAATAACGAGCCGAAGGAATGAGAGAGAGGGAGAGAGGGAGATTAAGCGAGGCTCTTCGGCCGTGGCCTTGGGGCCGTCCATAAATGACGTCACGCGATTTTGGACGATTTTTGACCTCCCCTCCCCCCTCGTCACACGGCGTCACAAAAAGTCAGACCCCCCCCCCAAATATGACGTCACAAAGCTCTGCCCCCCTCCCCCCCAAAACCATATTCCCATTTTGAAAATAAAACATGCTTCAAATCGCTTTAAACTATTGTCATTGTGGTGCGTATGTAATGTGGCGCTGCACTCTGATGTTGTAGGAGTGTTGTTATAACAATTATAGTGTTGTTATAACAATTCTGTATTTATTTAAAAATTTGCGCATTTTGATGTGACGTCACATTTCTCAAACACCCCCCCCACCCCTCGTCACACATCGTCACAAATGTCTGACCCCCCCCCCCGCCCTCCTAGGTGCGTGACGTCATTTATGGACGGCCCCTAAATAACGAGCCGAAGGTATGAGAGAGAGGGAGAGAGAGAGGGAGATTAAGCGAGGCTCTTCGGCCGTGGCTTTGGCATAGAGCGGCGATTCGCCCCTGACCCGGTACGCAGCCCGAGCGGCCTGCGTGGGTGTCTTGTCTCCCCAGCCCACAGGGCGCACACACACATACACACACACATACACACACACACATACACACACACATACACACACACATACACACATACACATACACACACACATACACACATACACACACACATACACACACACATACACACATACACACATACACACACACATACACACATACACACACACATACACACACACATACACACATACACACACACATACACACATACACATACACACACACATACACACATACACACACACATACACATACACACACACATACACACATACACACATACACACACACATACACACACACACATACACACACACATACACACACACATACACACATACACATACACACACACATACACACATACACACACACATACACATACACACACACATACACACATACACACATACACACACACATACACACATACACACACACATACACACACACATACACACATACACACACACATACACACACACATACACACATACACACACACATACACACACACATACACACACACATACACACATACACACACACATACACACACACATACACACATACACACACACATACACACACACATACACACACACATACACACACACACATACACACATACACACACAGGGTACACACACACATACACACAAGGTTCACACACACACACAGGGCTCACACACACCTACAGAGCTCACACACACACACAGGGTTCACACACACACACAGAGCGCACACACACACAGAGCTCACACACACACAGAGCTCTCACACACACACACACAGGACTCACACACACACACAGGGCGCACACACACACACATCACTCACACACACACAGGGTACACACACACACACACAGAGACAGGACTCACACACACACAGGACTCCCACACACACATAGGGTACACACACACACAGGGTACACACACACAGGGCGCACACACACACATACACACATACACACATTGGAGCGCCCCCGTTCGAAAAAAAAACATCTTTGAATGTAAGTCTATGGGAACACTCTGGGCGATTCTCAGCCGGAGTGAAATCGCCCAAAAAGAGGCGGTACTCCACAGAACGTGACATGACGCTGATTGGACTATATCCAGAGGCTGACAGTGACGGCTAGCGTGACTCTGTGGTTGAATGACATTGGTGGTGCGTCGCCCAATCGCCCTAATGAAGAAACCGCCCCTGTCCGTGGAAGTGGTTGATGGTTGAGGCTGGTGGTTGTTTGTGGTTGTGGTGGTCCGTGGAAGTGGTTGGTGGTTGTGATTGTTGGTAGTTGTGGTGGTCCGTGGAAGTGGTTGGTGGTTGCGATTGCTCGCGGTTGTTTTCGATTTTGCGGTTGTGACTGGTGGTGGTTGCGCATGGACGTTGTGGTTATTCATGATGGTGGTGGTAGTTGTTGGGGGTTAGTGGTTGTGGTTATTCATGAATGTGGTGGTTGTTGTTGGGGGTTAGTGAATGTGGTTATTTATGAATGTGGTGGTGGTTGTTGGGGGTTAGTGAATGTGGTTATTCATGATGGTGGTGGTTGTTGTTGGGGGTTAGTGAATGTGGTGGTGGTTGTTGTTGGGGGTTAGTGATTGTGGCTATTCATTAATGTGGTGGTGGTTGGCGGTTAGTGGTTGTGGTTATTCATGATGGTGGTGGTAGTTGGCGGTTAGTGGTTGTGGTGGTGGTTGGCAGTTAGTGGTTGTGGTGGTGGTTGGCGGTTAGTGGTTGTGGTGGTGGTTGGCGGTTAGTGGTTGTGGTGGTGGTTGGCGGTTAGTGGTTGTGGTGGTGGTTGGCGGTTAGTGGTTGTGGTGGTGGTTGGCGGTTAGTGGTTGTGGTGGTGGTTGGCGGTTAGTGGTTGTGGTGGTGGTTGGCGGTTAGTGGTTGTGGTGGTGGTTGGCGGTTAGTGGTTGTGGTTATTCATGATGGTCGTAGTAGTGTCGTTCGCAACGTATTGGCGAACGACGCTTGTTGTTGTCGCTGCTGCGGTTGTTGGTGAAATTCGTTGTTGCCTTTCTCCTGTAGTTGTGTTATTTCACATCGTTGTTGTTGCTGTCCTTGTTGTCGTTGTCGTGTTTCTCCTCGTTATGGTGTGGTGACTGTTGGTGGTTGCGGTCGTTGTGGTTATTGCCTGCGGGTTGTGCGCGTGAGAAGCTGCTCACCTCGGCCCGTGGTGGTTGTGGTTGTTGTGGTTATCGTCGTGTTAGTGTGGCCCGTGGTGGCGGTGGTTGTTGTTGTGGTTGTTGTGGTTGCATGTACACACAAGCAGAGCCGTCTCTATGGTGCACGGCGAATCGGGGTGGCCGCCCCGGGCCCCGCACTTTGGGGGGGGGGGGCGGTGTGAGATGTAACCCTTCCGGTTTAGTTTGAAGGCATCGGGGTGGGGGGGGGGTCCACACGGTGGGGTTAGCCCCGGGCCCCGCCCGGCATACATTTAAATTATTTTTGCTGCTGTACATTTCCAACATGATAAGCCACTTTTCTTTAGCTTTCATTTGTGGCCAGGTCGCTTCTGCAAAATAAGCTAATAGCTCAGTAGGCTTTGTCTGGTAAGATAAAAAAAACAATAGTTTAGTTTTATTAGCATTTATTTTACGTGATTTTTTTTTACCTTTTCTTATACTTTTCACTCTCGTCGTGTTAATGTCTTGTTTGTTGTTGTTGACGTTCTGATCCCGTGCCCTTTACTGGACGTCTGTGAAAAATAACTTTATAGCTGATCGGATTGCTCCTGCAGTGTGAACAAATATTCAGATTGTGACAAGCAGCACCCACCACGATCGCGAACTCACACGAATGAAATTCCACGCCGAGGTGCCAGCCTCATTGTTTCTCCATGCACGTCTGTATTTGCAAGTTGTAAACCCCCGTCAAATAATCCGGACTCAGCCGCTCCTCACCTCATGCCCACAACTCTTCCCACGTGACAACAGCTTCGTCACTTAACATCCCGACAAATAAATAACCAAACAAACACAATGACTCGAAACACAAATAAATACAAATAAATTAAATCTCAATATGATAACCGTTACGCGTGGTTCTGAAAATTCCTTCTTGTTCTGGAACAATTACTCAGTCATCATCATCAGCATCCTCATCATCATCAATAATCAGGGATTCATATCTGCCGGAAGTGCCTGGGGCTGAGCTCCAGAAGATAATTCCCAAACCTCACCCCTTTTCCAGGATGATGCTGATGATGGATGAAGTATTAAACGTTGAGATGCAACCCAGAATTAAAAAACCCACCTTTTTATACATAAACACCCCAAATATTCATATTCTTTCGGTAAAGTCATGTAGAAGGGAAATAATAAAATAATAAAAATAACACAATTAAATATTCTTCATGCCCGTGTTCATTGGCACGCTGTAGCCAGTGACTGGAAATTGCACGATCACATGACGGGGACCAGTATGTCCACGTGATATCCACCGCTGTGGCTGTAATGTCCTCGGGTGGCCGCATCTCCAACGTCACCTCCCGAGGGTGACACCTCGTCAGGGTCACGTGCTCGCTGGACGCAGCTCCTCATCTCCTGGCAGTGACGTCTCGTCGCAATCGTTTCCCAGGCGGACGACCCAGTGTCTCACCTCCTGCGGCATCTCCATTGGACCCCCCCTCCTCCCTCGACCACCACCAATCTCCACGACCTCCCCACGGTTGGCGACCTCGCGCCGCGATCAACGCCCTCCTCGACCGAAGCCGTCGCTTGCGGCATCTCCACCGGCCGCCTCGTGTCCTCCGACTGGGGTGGCAAGGCACCGCTACTAACCACCAGCACCAGCACCACCACGCGCTGTCTACTGACAGTGGCACTTGCTCACGATCATGTCCTCGACGGCGGACACGGCCAGCTTGCCGTCGCTGTCATAGTGCAGGAGGACGAGCGGCTCCAGGGCCGCGGGCACGCAGCACGGCCCGGCCACCGCCCCGCCCGTGAGCCGGTGCATCTTGGCGAGCAGCAGCGCGTACCTGTTGGCCGCCTTGTACCTGTGCGGGCACGCGCCCTGGCACGCGTACGCGGCGTACTCGGCGGGCGCCTTCACCCAGTCGTCCCAGCCGATGTCGGCGAAGGAGACGCGCATGGGCGAGCGGCAGCACTTCTTCTGCTCCGAGTCGGCGCAGTCCTCCGACGACGCGTCGCGCCGGCTCCTCCGGCGCGCCGTCGAGCGCCGGGGGCCCCGCGCTCGCAGCGTCACGCGCAGGACGACGCCCGAGGCCCACGACTTGGGCGACGACGTCTCGCCGGCGGTCGGGGAAGACGGCAACGAGATGTCCACCACTAGCGTGCTGCTGTTGCTGCTGGTGCTGGTGGTCGTGGTGGTGTTGATATTGCTGCTGTTGCTGCTGGTGCTGGTGGTCGTGGTGGTGTTGATATTGCTGCTGTTGCTGATGTTGCTGATGTTGATTTCACTGCTCCTATTGCTGCTGCTGCTGCTGTTGTCGATGCTGCTGCTGTTGCTGCTGTCCCCCAGCCACTTGTCGATGAGACCCCGCAGGGCGAAGCTCACGTCCACAGACGCCTGGTGCCGGGATCGAACCCCGCGCTCGAGTCGGACGCCCAGGGATAGCCTCGCCCGGGGCTCCGAGTTGGGCGACCCGGTGGGAGGCCCCGCGTGGATCAGGGTCAGCGTGGAGGCCGGGGCCAGTGCTCGGGTCAAGGTGGAGGTCAGGGCGAGGTGAGCTGACGTCACGCGCAGGCGGTGTCGGGAACAGGCCGCGAGAATTTCCTCCAGAGAGAAGTGGAGGCGCAGGGAGCTGGGCGGTGATGACGACGACGATGATGATGTAATCACCGTGGAGCCTGGAAAGAGATTATGACAATTATTATTATAATGATATTTATGAGACACAGGCGAAATAATGTCATCGTGATGATAACGTACTGCAAATAAGCAGTGTCTTATTTACGTATAATTCGTCTCTCCACGGAAAAATGGATGAAAGTATGTACAGTGAGGGAAAAAAGTATTTGAACCCCTGCTGCTTTTGTACGTTTGCCCACTGACCAAGAAATGATCAGTCTATAATTTTAATGGTAGGTTTATTTGAACAGTGAGAGGCAGAATAACAACAACAAAATCCAGAAAAACGCATGTCAAAAATGTTATAAATTGATTTGCATTTTAATGAGGGAAATAAGTATTTGACCCCCTCTCAATCAGAAAGATTTCTGGCTCCCAGGTGTCTTTTATACAGGTATCGAGCTGAGATTAGGAGCACACTCTTAAATGGAGTGCTCCTAATCTCAGCTTGTTACCTGTATAAAAGACACCTGTTCACAGAAGCAATCAATCAATCAGATTCCAAACTCTCCACGATGGCCAAGACCAAAGAGCTCTCCAAGGATGTCAGGGACAACACTGTATTACGCAACCCAGCAGCCGCACTGCCTTGTGGGAGTGCATCATCTCAGCAGCATTGCATCAGGACAAGCAAACCTCTGGAGCGGTTTCGACATTCAGTCTCTCATCAGAAGTGTCACGCTTGCTTGGATTATTTACATTCTCTCCAATGACGCGAATGATTATTTTGAATAGGGCAACAGCGATGATGATTTTCAGACTTTGTCAATGTGTTATTTGTATTGATAATGATGCAATTACTTTATAAGAGCAATGCATCAAAGCGATGTAGAGATAATGCAATGTGAATTGTGATGATTATATGTTTACATAACTTCATTGTTCACTTATACTGATGGGAAACAAACTTTACAGTTCCAGCCCGGGAATAGTTTGCTCACGTCACTGCTTCATGAAATACCTAAAATGACTTTTAATATAACATGATGGTTTTTATTGTTCAAAGACATTTAAAAAAATGTAATGTTAAAGATGATTATTCAATTATTAATTGATTCTTTGATGAGTAAAATGTGTTTCAATGATGATTATGTTTTAAGAACATTTTAAATATGATTCATGGCTGCATTTAAATAAAATTAGTATAATTTTAGATCGTGTCCTTTCTGGAACTATGTAAACTGCACCAGGTAAGCATGTTTAAGGCTGAGTCGATCTAGGGGAGGCCCAGGAACCGGTTCTGATATCACTCGAGCCCCTGATATTAGAGCCGTGGCCGGGTTCGTAGCGTTAGCGTGCTAACCACTGCGCCACCGCTCCACTCATTGTTCACATACAAATTTGTTATACACAAGACAAAGATCCCCTATATAGCCTTCAGCTAAGTGTCGGGGCAAGTTCCATTAGCGAGCACCTATTGAGGCCGGTATGGCACACAAGGAGGGTGTGTGTTGCCAGAAACCCCGCATGACCGCCTTTGTCTCCCCAATGCTGATGTTTAGCACACCGCACCAAGTACTCTACTCATTTGAGGCTGAGTCGACCTAGGGGAGGCACAGGACCCATTAAAAAATTCGCTTCGGTAGTTATTGCCCGTGAGCGGGGAATCGAACTCGGGTAGCCCGGCTTCGCAGCGCAGCGCTAACCACGCAGCGAGCCCCTTCGCCCGGGCACGGCTAACATCAGTGGCGAGTGATGTGTGAATCGGTCCTCAAGCCTCCACGACCCCCCCCCCCCCCCCCAGTGCCGGATGATCCTCGTAGCACAAGTAGCTACTACTGCACGTGTAGCTACGGGCCTCGCACTTTCAAGGACCCCGCGCTGAATGCTTTCAAGCTATCAATTCCGGTTCAGTGATTCTGCACTTGCTCTATTACTATAGTACTATACCGCCTTCAACTTTTACGAACGACTGGGTATTTAAGGTTAGCGATTTGTCGTATTATCTGGCTGTATAGCAAATGAAAAAAACACAATTACTTTACTATGCAAGTTACAAAATTGTGTTTTTATATATATTTTTTTAATTTAGGGCTCCTTAATAACATCATGCTAGAGGCCCCGCACTTGCTTCATCCGACACTGAACCCCCCCCTGTTGCGACACCTCCCCACCAACAATTTGAGGCCGCTAGCCGCTCGCTGTGCAACGCGCTGAATCCTCGGTCCGGCAGCTGACCCGTCCGTCTCACGCCACTGTTCATCATCATCTTTCTCCTACTATTAATATAAATTTTTTATAATATATTTTTTTGTACCAGGTAAAGCCGACTGAGCTCTATAGGAGCTCGTTTTCAGAAGCGTCCTGGCTATCACAAATGATAGCTCAGCGAAGTTGGCGGCTTATCGTCATCATCGCGTGGAAATGTACAGCAGCCAAAATGCTCGAAACGCGTGACGTTGATTCTCAAATGTGGAAGGGAAAACCGGAGGACCCGGAGAAAAATCCACGCGACCACGGGCAGAGAGACACGCAAACTCCACATATACAGCAGCAAGCGTCAGGGTCCGGATTGAAACCAAGACCTCCTGTATACCAGGCGAGGTAGTCAACATCTCCTAGCCACCGTGATGATGATGACGAGAGAGAGAGACACGCAAACTACAAACATACAGCAGACGTCAGGGTCGGGATCGAACCCACGACCTCCCGCCTACCAGGCGAGGTAGTTAACATCTCCTAGCCACCGCGATGAGGAGAGAGAGACACGCAAACTCCAAATATACAGCAGCAGGTGTCAGGGTCGGGATCGAACCCATGACCTCCTGTATACCAGGCGAGGTAGTTAACATCTCCTAGCCACCGTGATGATGATGACGAGAGAGAGAGAGAGACATGCAAACTCCAAACATACAGCAGGCGTCAGGGTCGGGATCGAACCCACGACCTCCCGCCTACCAGGCGAGGGATCACCATCCACGCACCTGTGTGAGCCGTCAAGGTGAAGGTGGTTGGGTTCGACTCCGAGTCGCCGGAATCTCCTCCTCCGGTGACTCCCGACCCGGAGCCGGCTCGCCTCGTGACCGTCTCGTGGTACCGTGTCCACGCCGCCTCCTCCTCCTGCCGCGCCTGGAGAAGCCCCCCGCGAGAAACGTCGGGCACCGTCGGGGGCTTCTCCAGCCCCAGCCGCTCCAGGATCTCCCTCTTGATCGCCTCCACCTCCCCGGAGAGGTGACGGAGGGGCGCGTGAGACGGCTCCGTCTCCTCCTGGTTGGTCCTGGAGTCGCGCACCTGCAGCCCCGGCTCGTGATGCTGCTGCTGCTGCTGGTGCTGATGGTGGTGGTGGTGCTGATGGTGGTGATGTTGATGTTGGAGGTGCTGATGGTGGTGATGTTGATGATGGAGCCTCGCCGCGTGGGACGCGCACAGGAGGGAGCAGAAGATCAAGGTGATGATGATGATGGTGGTGGTGGAGATCGAGGAGGAACAGATCCAGGAGTGCGTGGTCGACTTCATGGTGGTGACAACTCCCCGAAGCGGGGGCAAGGTGGAAGTGATGATGCTGCTGATTATGATGATGTTGTTGCTGCTGCCGCTGCTAATGATGCTGCTGCTAATGACGCTGCTGATGATGATTGCAGTGCTGGAGGTGCGTGCCTCGATTGATGTGTCAGGGATGCCGGTCGAGAGAGGATTTCGTTTCTCCGTCGAGGTTTGCACCCTGACCCAGGCTCGCGCGTGGGGGTTCTCCGTGCGTCAGACCGCGAATGAGACGAGGCCTCGAGACGCGGCGGTCTTTATGGGTTGAAGGCCACACGCAGGGGCCGGGCAAGCCTGGCCACGCCTCGTGTGTCTCTGCCAGTCCGTGCGTGTGTGTGTGTCTGTGTGTCTGTGTATGTGTGTGTGTATGTCTGTCTGTGTGTGTCTGTCTGTCTGTCTGTGTGTGTGTATGTGTGTGTCTGTGTGTGTCTGTGTCTGTGTGTGTCTGTGTGTGTGTCTGTCTGTGTGTCTGTCTGTGTGTGTGTCTGTTTGTGTGTGTGTGTCTGTGTGTGTCTGTCTGTGTGTGTGTTTGTTTGTGTGTGTGTCTGTGTGTGTGTCTATGTGTGTGTCTGTGTGTGTGTGTCTGTGTGTGTCTGTGTCTATGTGTGTCTGTGTGTGTGTTGGACTGTTATTGATTACCGTCAAAAAGAAAGATCCCCCGTGTAGCCTTAACAGACTGTAGGGGAAAGTGCTGTTAGCGAGCACCACCTACGCAGACCGGCACGGCACACGAGGGGGTGGGTGGCCAGCACCACGCCCGACCGCCTTTGTCTCCCCCAGTGGCGATATTTGCACACCGCACCAGGTACTCATTTGAAGGCCAAGTCGACTTAGGGGAGCGCACCCCCGCCCCCCCGGACCGGTTCAAGATTGAATCGTCACAGCGGGTTTGTCGGTGGCCGTGAGCGGGAATCGAACTCGGGTCGCCGGGTTCGTAAGAGCAGCAGCAATCGCCCGCTCCTTATCGCCGGATCACGAACCTCTGGGTGGTTGGGGGTGGTGGTCAAGCTAAACCCACGAATAAACATCCACATTCCGGGTGGGTTTTTTTAAATCTTTTTTTTATCTGCCCCGGCTACTGCGACGCACAGCTCATTGCGAACGTCAACCAGAGAAACCGCGACGAGCCATTGCCGCCTTCCTTATGCCAGGTTCTGCACAGTTGTGGGGGGGAGGGAGGGTGGGTGGTTTATTTATATTCGTGGTTCTTTCGGTAAAGTCACGTGGGTAGGAAATAAAATAAAAATAACAGGTAATTAAATAAAAAATGACATGATAAATTTAAAATAATAAAAGCAAAAAACCCACGACGTTTCGATCGCAACAGAAGCGGTCTTCATCAGACGGACCGATTTGTCTTTGTGCTTCATTGCGCGAACTTTGTTGTTCTGCTTTGCCCGCACCTGCACGTCAGAATCGGGCTTCTCTATCTCGACTGTTTAACACGCAGCAGCAGCAGTATTAGTATTAGGGCTTTCACGACCAATATCATCCATAACAGAGTTTTTTTTGGGTTAGATCGCGTTAAAATATAAATGTGTCGTTAAACCCGCCACCACCCGACACAGCCAACTAGTAAAGGTTGTCACGTAAACAGAACGTGGCCAATGCGTCACAAGTACAGCACTAGTGTGTAGTGTAGTGTATAGTGTAGTGTATAGTAGTGTAGTGTATAATGTAGTGTATAGTAGTGTAGTGTATAGTAGTGTAGTGTATAGTAGTGTAGTGTATAATGTAGTGCATAGTAGTGTAGTGTATAATGTAGTGTATAGTGTAGTGTATAGTAGTGTAGTGTATAATGTAGTGTATAGTGTAGTGTTTAGTAGTGTAGTGTATAATGTAGTGTATAGTGTAGTATACTAGTACAGCACACCGGTGTGTTGGAGAGCCAAGCCACAACATTTACAATCCGAGTTCGACGTTTCGCCAGTAATTACAATCTCGACTGCAGGAGGAAATCCGATGAGCTATGAAGTTCTTTTTCATGGATGTCCGGCACGGGCAGGCCGATGAAACTCACAATTCCGGTCTCTCGTCCGTCATAACCCACCGGTGGAACAGAATCATCTTGGAACTCGAAACTAAAGTCGACGATTCCCGGCTGACATCAGTGGCGACTGATATCAGAACCGGCCCTGCCCCCCCACCCCAGCTCGGTCTGTCTGTTCGTGTCACGTCGCAATGTCGAGGATGCCTTCATCCAGCAGTGGATTGAACCACGGCTCACGACAATGCTACTGCGTGCGTGGGCCGGAGAGGTGGTGCAGCGAGTTTACAAAATGCCCTCTGAGCACAGCGGCTCGGGTTCGATTCCCGGCGACGGCTCATCGTGCGTGGCGAGTGAAACCTCGCAGCCTCGCAGCGAGAGAGGCGCTCCTCCCCCACATCACCACTAAGCCGCGTTCACCAGCGCGGAGAGGTATGGCCAACGCGACCCCCCCCCCCGACTCATCGGTGGAGTTTGCGCGGTTCACCAACTCCATCACTTCATCAACTCCATCTCTTCACCAACTCCATCACTTCACCAAATCTATCACTTCATCAACTCCATCACTTTATCAACAGCGTCTCTCCACCAACTCAATCACTTCATCAACTCCATCTCTTCACCAAATCCATCACTTCACTAACTCCATCACTTCACCAAATCCATCACTTCACCAACTTCATCTCTCCACCAACCCCATCTCTCCACCAAATCCATCACTTCACCAACTCCATCACTTCACCAACTCCATCTATTCGCCACATCGCGCTGACCAGCGTGGTGAAGTGATGGCCCAGCAAGCCCGTGGCGAGGAGGCTTCCATCCAGCAGTGGAGTCACACAAGTCTGCGTGCCTCTCACGTCATTCATCTTGCGTCGCTTAAATCATACCTCCCCTCGCAGCGCAGCATTGCTCACCTTTTAAGGAGAGAACGCGGTTTCTACTGGAGGGGTAAATCTCTCCTCCTTGCTACTCACGGTTCCACGGTGACACAAAAGCCCTCCCGCGTTCCTGAGCAAATGCTGAAACGCGGCACAAAGACAAAGCTCCCCCGTATAGCCTCTAACAGACTGTTGGGGGCAAGTGCTGTTAGCGAGCACCCCCTATGAAGGCCGGCACGGCACACGAGGGGGATATGGTGGCCGGCACCACGCCCGAGCCAACCTTTGTCTCCGCAACGCTGATGTTTACAAACAGCGCCAGGCACTCGTTTATGGCTCGATCGATTTCAGGGAGGCCCAGGACTGGCTCAGATAATCGTTATTGGTGTCGATGGCCGTGAGCGGAAATCGAAATCAGGTCGGCGGGTTCGTAGTGCGGCGCTCTAACCACTACACTACCGCTCCCCATACACACTCACACTCAAAGATAAAGATCCCCCGTATCGCCTAAACAGGCTGTTGGGACAAGTGCTGTTAGCGAGCACATATAAAGCCCTGCACGGCACACGAGTGAGCGTGTGGCCAGAACCACGCCCGACCGCCTTTATCTCCCCAGTGGCGATGTTTACACACCACGCCAGGTACTCATTTGAGGCTGAGTCGACCTAGGGGAGGCCCAGGACCGGTTTAAATATTCGTCACTGGTGTTGGCCGTGAGCGCACTAACCGCTATACTAGACGAACACAGAAGACGCATGCACAGTTGACACAGCACAGACACTCGCAAGCATCTGACGGATGTAACAGCACACACATACCGGGCGGCGCATTTATGCAGCAGACCTGAGCAATGCGCTTCCGCTTGGGCTTAGTCACTGTTATATAATAAGGATACTTAGCGCTACTAATAATAAAACAACAACAATCGCATTGTCCTTATACACCCAGGAAAGTCGCACCGAGGCATGATACTCCTTTTACGGAGGGTACTGCCACACTTGGATATTTTCGACAATTCCATTTTGAAAACGTGGCTTACGGTAAACAATTTTTTTTACTAAAATATTTTTTCTTTTACCAGGTAAGGCCCACTTTTGCTGTAGAGCTATTTTTCAGAAGCGTCCTCGCCATCACAAATAATAGCTCAACGAAGTGGCTCATCATCATCATCGTGTGGAAATGTACAGCAGCCAAATATTCTTAAACGCGGTGATGATGTTGATTCTAAATGTGGGAGGGAAAACCGGAGGACCCGGAGAAAAATCCACGCGACCACGGGTAGAGAGACACGCAAACTCCAAATATACAGCAGCAGGCTTCAGGGTCGGGATCAAACCCAAGACCTCCTGTATACCAGGCGAGGTAGTTAACATCTCAACCGCCGTGATGATGATGATGAGAGAGAGAGAGAGACACGCAAACTCCAAACATGCAGCAGGCTTCAGGGTCGGGATCAAACCCAAGACCTCCTGTATACCAGGCGAGGTAGTTAACATCTCAACCGCCGTGATGATGATGATGAGAGAGAGAGACACGCAAACTCCAAACATGCAGCAGGCGTCAGGGTCGGGATCAAACCCAAGACATCCTGTATACCAGGCGAAGTAATTAACATCTCAACCGCCGTGATGATGATGATGAGAGAGAGAGACACGCAAACTCCAAACATGCAGCAGGCTTCAGGGTCGGGATCAAACCCAAGACCTCCTGTATACCAGGCGAGGTAGTTAACATCTCAACCGCCGTGATGATGATGATGATGAGAGAGAGAGAGACACGCAAACTCCAAACATGCAGCAGGCGTCAGGGTCGGATTCGAACCCAAGTCCTCCTGCATACGACCTCAAGTTGCTTGGCCTCCTGAGTGGGACCAGACCGGATGACTCGTAGTACACCCCACGGGGCATGTGAAGGGACAACTCAAAGCTCCGCAAAGATTGATTCAATAATTCATGTTGCTTTGCTGACATCATCTGACCACCTTCCAGCCAAAGCCGACAACATCTCGTATTGCCAGGCAGCCCTCCCATGGGATTGCTAACCGAGGCTCCAAATTGAGGTCCTCCTCGGGGTCTAGAGGGTTTTCAGCCTGCGCTGTCACTCTGGCGAGTACGTCTTGCAAGAGGTGGGAGTTTGGTTGAGTTTATTTTCTTCAACCGGGTGAGAACCCGAGTGACCCAGACATGGTCTCATATGCAAGTGTGACCTCCCGGGCATTCTGTTGCTGCCTCAAATGACTACCTGGTGCGGTGTGTAAACATCGCTACTGGGGAGACAAAGGCGGCCGGGCGCGGCGCTGGCCACCCCCCCCCCCCTCGTGTGCCGAGCCGGCCTTCATAGGTGCTCGCTAAGAGCGCTTGCCCCTCCCAACAGTCTGTTAAGGCTACACGGGGGAGATATCTTGGTCTTATAGCCCCAACTGAGTAAACTGCGGTGTCATTTTCAAATTCAGCAAATGTTGATCTTCAAGGCCGGCACGCAATGGCACGGGATCTTTAATGTCCGCTGTGAGGTGAGGAAGGGCGGTCTGCGGGAGTATTTCTTGTTGTTGTTATTCCTGTGGTCATTACACCCCGCAGTATTAAACTAAACTATTGTTTTTTTTTATTTTGCCAGGTAAGGCCCACTGAGCTATATCAGATTTTTTTCAGAAGCGACCTCGCCACAAGTGATAGCTCAACGAAGCGACTCATCGTCGTGTGGAAATTTCTAGCAGTGGCCAAATACTCTAAACGCGTGATGTTGATTCTAAACGTGGAGGG